GGTTTGACACATGTACTCGAGGTTTTGCTGGATTGCTGTGCCGGAGTCTGGACTACAGAGGCGTGATTTGTAGAGCACACCAGTGTGTTGTACTCTAACTCCCACATGCAGACCCTGCTGCCGCACACTACATGTTCCTTAATGCAAGCTGACGTAGCCCTGTTTGGAACAGGACTATATCAGTGCATGCTGGCAGGGTCTAAATGGCGGGAGTTAGCATGCAACACACTGGTGCGCTCTACAAATCACAACCCTGTAGTGCATTCTCTGGAGCTGTGTAGACAAGCCCGAAAATTCATAGGAAGTCTGCAGGCCAGATTAAACCGTGCTGCGGGCCGGATGCAACCCACACGTTTGACATGCCTGCTCTCAATGCATCACAGCCCTTCTTGTTCCACTGAGCGGGAGAGAGGCTGCACAGAAGGATGGGTTTGGTGGCATGCCACAAGGTATCTGCCACTGCACCAACCCAAGGGCTAAATCCTTATCACAAGGGTGCAAAGCAGCTACTGAACTATTGTAGGAGCACTGGAGCCTCTATGCAGCTGCTGCTCACCAAGGTGTCCGGTTAGAGTGGGGATGGTTTTATTGCCCTCCCAAAGAATTCTTTCCTCCTGTTGCCTCAGGCTTTGCAGATAGAGCAGCGGTTGGGCCAGAGAGATACGAATTGCCTACTATATCTCAAAAGGGTGTTGATCCTAGAATGTAACAACAGTCATTTAAATATCACTCAAAGAACAGGAGGACTTGTGGCACCTTAGAGACTAACAAATTTATTTGAGCATAAGCTTTCGTGGGATATAACCCACTTCATCAGATGCATAGAGTGGAAAATACAGTAGGCAGGTATAAATATACAGCGCATGAAAAGACGGGAGTTGCCTTACCAAGTGGGGGGGTTAGTGCTAATGAGGCCAATTCAGTTAGGGTGGATGTGGCCCATTCCCAACAGTTGACAAGAAGGGGTGAATATCAACAGAGGGAAAATAACTTTTTGTAGTGCTAACAAGGCCAATTCAATCAAAGTTGATGTGGCCCATTCCCAGCAGTTGACAAGAAGGGGTATCAACAGAGGGAAAATTATTTTTTGTAGTGATCCAGTCACATTTATGCCCAGATAAATTTGTTAGTCTCTAAGGTACCACAAGGACTTTGCGTTGTTTTCACTTGGTAGTGAACACTCACATCCTGAGGCCATAGTACTGCCTCCACCAAAGTGTTACTTCCTGTGTATAGGTTACAGCATCAGAAATAATGATTAAAAGCTCAGTTCAGTTCCTGTAAAAGTCAGGTGAAGATCTTTGACAGCACAGTCATAGTGTTGCCATTTGGTGCACCCGCAGTTAGGCAGACATTAAATAAGAGCCAATGTGTAACTGACTCTGTAAAATGTTTGCTTTTAAAGTAATCTAATACCTAGTTTATTAGCTGATTTTTGTTTGAGCGCTGCATGACTGAAGGCCTCACTAGTCCTTGAAACATAACTGTTTTGAAATGTGCTGTAATAACTCCTGCATATCTTCATAAACTGCAATTTTATAATCTGCATGAATTGTGTTTATACTTCCATTGCAAAAAGTTTTGTCCCATCTGACAATAAAGGAAACAATTAGCCAGAAGTTCTGCTACCTTTTCACTGAAGAGACTTTTTAAGTGGTAGTATTATATCTCAATGCTTCCTTCTTTATAGATCTCTCAAGCATAAGGATAGGCTTTGACGTTGATGATGTCACATGCTATAGTTTGAACTTTTTTCAAACTCTTAGTTATTAGAAAGCTTAGCCCATCAGATTTCACATCCATTCACTTCATGTCCATTAGATTTTGCATCCAGTGGTGGACACATGTCGTCTGATTAATTTTATATTTTATATATATATATATATATACACACACATATATATTTCAACTGCTGGCCACTCACTGTCTCACTGCTGATGATTTTGAAACATCCACATGTGACTAGAGCTGAGAATTTCCACACCCATCCCACCAACCTGACCCTATGATACCCTATCACTTATAATACGACCTGGCAATTTCATATTTATACCTTCTCTGGACTGAAAAATATCCCATCCCAAGCCCCACAGAAAGAACAAGATCCACTGCAGAGGGTTTGGGAGCTCATTGCGTAACCTTGCTCCAGCCATCCGAGAGCAGAACCTCACTAGACATAAGCTTTCGGGCAGCCGGTCATGACCCCTTTGCCCCCTCCCTTTCAAAAGCCAATAAGGTTTCAAGACACACAAATCTCAGAGTGACTTCACCATGGAGATCATGGTCCAAATATAAAGGAGGGAAGTGAGGTCAGTTAATCCCACAGATTCCACAAAGCTGGGACACACAGAGGAGAGCAAAAGGGGGTTAATTTTAAAACTAAATAAAAACGAAGTGTTGGGTTCATGCTCTCTCTTTTCTGAACTGCGAACACTGTCACTAATATTTTTTGTTTTCTTCTCCCCTTTGGTTGCTTAGATTTGGCTTCTCAGAGATTATTGATCATTCCCAGGCAGGAGTGAGAACATGACAGACTCTTCTGGGGTTAGTTCCAAATTTCAAAAGGGATGCACAACTTGTAAATGAAAGACACAAATGGAGCTGAAAGAAATTTAAGGACTTTTAGACACTGCAAAGGTATAATCTTCAGAAGTAGCCCTCCAATAACCTTGTTCAAACAGATGGATCTTCTCAGAGTTAACCAAGCAGATCTGAACATACACTATGTTAATAGTTCAAATCCATGTATTCTTAAGCAAGTCTCGCCCCACTTTTCCAGTAAATCTAGGTTGGTTTATAATTTTGGGACAAACCCATAAAAATATCACAGCTTTGACTCAAAACCTGGTGAACCTTGATGGTTTTGACTGAGTTTTGTTTTGAGATTTGTAGTTCATTTGAATCTGGGACAGGGGGATTCAAACACACATGGATCAAAACAACCTAAAGCAAATGTTGGCACAAACCCCTGTAGACAAACCTGCTGAGTAATGTTTTTCTCTGACAAAATGTAAGAATGGTCAGTTTGCTTCCCCCATCCCTGTCATTTCCATCCACCTGTCCAAACTGGAAGAGAGGGGTTGAATGTAATGAAGGACCTGGAGAGTCTAGGTAATTTTCATAAACAAGGGCTGAAGAAAACCCCTTATTATTCTGCAATACAGAATAATGTTGCATAGATGAAAAATTAAAGTGTGAAAATAAGAAGCCTTTCCATGTGCAGAAGTTCTGCTCCTGCCTCCTTCAACAAAACAAGAGCATCTCCTTCTGAAGGTGCCGTTTTTATAGTGTCACTTTTCAGTCAGTAGCCACACTTCAAGGGACCTATCTGTGACATACTATACCTTGGGGGAGTGGCTTGTAACCCCCATATTCCTCATCTGTATATAATTGTATATATATACACACACACATCTGTATATAACTGTATATATATTGCAGATAAAGCACACCATGGGAGGTATCAGGGGAAAGGTTATAATCAGCTGAAAGTCACTGTTCTATCTAAATATGTACATCTTTAGTGCATATGAAGTTATGAGAATTGTGTTGTATGGTGGTCACTAAAACATGCTGTAAATTGGGGAATCAGCCAGATATTAGCTCCCCAGAGACAAGAGCAAGGAGAGTAACCAATGTCCGGGCAGGGTGTCAAACAACCATCAACAGCCATTGTCCAGCAAGGGAGCTACAATTCAATGACTTACCTGCATAGGGCCACACCAGGGGAATTGATTAACCTTGCCTGGGGACTCAGCAATGCCCACCAAACATTCATGGACTTGTGTTCTCAAGCATATGGGCTAAGGGTATAAAACAGAACAGAGGGGGCCCATGCTTCGCCTTGCTCCTGCCCCCACCTATGCTGCAAGCAACAAAGACACTCAGAAGAAGACTCTGTTTAAGGGACAAACCTGTATATTATGAATTGCAATATCCAGTGGGGTGAGAAAAACTGCTTAATCTAGATGTTGCCCAGTCTAATAGGGTTGAGAGTTTAGACTGCGTGCTTATATTTTATTTTATTTTGGTAACTAACTTTTTGCCCCTTATAATCACTTAAAATCTATCTTTTGTAGTCAATACATTTGTTTTACTGTTTATCTTTACCAGTGAGTTTGCCTGAAGCGTGTGGTAAATCTGCTCAGATTTGCAAAGACTAGTGTATATTCACTTTCCATTGATGAAGTGGTGAACCAATTAATAAATCTGCATTGCTCATCTTGAGCAGTGCAAAATGGTATATTCCTGAGGTACAGTGCTGGGAGCGGGGGGATTTGGCTGGTGCCTTGCTCTATGAGATTCATGAGTGGCTCTGGGAGCATTCATGTAAACTAGCCGGGTGTGAGGCTCCACATGTTGTTGTGCTGAGTGATCACAGTGCCTGGAGGGGTTTGCTGCTGGTCACTAGCAAGGCACTGTGAGATAGCCCAGGCTGGCAAGTTAAGGGGGCACAGCAGTCCCACAGTCCCAAGCTGCGCCCCCGAGATCCCGTCACACTGTCTACACTAGGAAATGACCCACTGCTGAAAATTATTGTCACCAACAGGCTCTCCTAGCCCAGCCCCATCTGCAGATGACAACAATTTAGCTGCTGATGTAGATGGGACAGACCTGTTTCCATACCATTCCTGAGAGTGTAATAAGTCTCGTTAAGACCAGTCAAGCTCCACCTTTGTTAGCAACATGAAGAAAAGGTTCCAAGCCGGCGGTGCCATTTTAAAAACTGTGTTGCCTAACTCTCCTCAGAGTAAGTCGAATTGACATGGTGCTTAAAATGACACCAGCAACGCAGCTATGCTAGAACTCCCAGCATTGCCTACACTAGTGAAACCAAACTAGTGTTAGCAACATGGGGAACTTTTTGAGACGTTTCCCTAGTGTAAACAGGGCCTAACTGTCCAAGCTTTTATTACAAATCCCTATTTTCAGGGAGTTTAACGTGTTAAGCGAAATCTTTACTTTTCTCACCCTCTTACTCCCAAACCTTTCCCTTGCAGGCGGAAGTCGGAAAACCTCGGAGAAGCTGCTACACTCTTCCAGGCTATGACTTTGCATATGGGTTATACCTTCATGGGGCTGACGGAGGAGTACCTGAAGGTATGACAATGCAAGTAAAGACTAGAGATGCCATTAGAGGCTATTAAAAGTGCCACGTGGATGGCACCAAACGACCGGCAGGTTAGAGTGTAACAACATGCCTTGTACCTATTAAAGTCTTAATAGCAATGGAGGAGTGCAGGGGAGAAAACACTCTCACTGAGCTGAAGCGGGAGAGTAAGAACTCTAGCATTTTACCTGCTCACATGAACACCATCTGTGGCATTTGGTAACTGTTGTGTGCAAGAGTCCCTGGCCTTGTCTATATTTGGGATTCAACCATCAATGGCCAGCAGCAGGCGTAGCTGCACCAGTGCAAGCCCAAAAAGCGTAGACCAGAAAAGTTGTAACATGCTCCAGATGAGCTTACTCCTGTTTGAAATCAGTGTAAGGTCAGCTGGTGCAAGTCGCAGCTTTCCTTTTCTACACTCGGGGCTCGTATTAGTGCAGCTACACCAGTGGCCAGGCTACAATAGTTGAATCATGTCTAATTCCAAATATCAACAAGGCCTTTGCTTTTACCAAATATCAACAAGGCCTTTGCTTTGCTTTTGCTGTACCCAATTGCTAAGCCCGGTACTCAAACACATAAAAAATCCTGCTTCACATAAATAGGGTAGAATATATGAAAATAACCATGTGCTTCAATCAAGACCAAGTCAGATTGTTGTGACCCTTCTGTCCTGTAGCAGAGGCCGTCATAAGAGTGTACAAAGTTTTTCTAAGAAAATGCACAGCTACTCACAAACTCAAGGTCTGTCACAGTTCCTTACAACTTTTGAAGCTGACCCACCTTTACAGAAACTTTTGCGCATGTATGTGAAAACTGAGCAGAGATGGGCCCAAATCCAAGCAAAGATGTGCATGAATTGGCCCACTTTCATGAGCAGAGCTGGCTTTTGCATTGGACACCTGTGAAAATTCACGTAACTTTCAGTGAGGAAAAAAATGGACGGCTTTGTCAAAATTGCTGAGCATTACAAATTGGAGGTGGGGAAATTGTGGGAAATAGGAACAATTTACTTGAGAAACTCTATGCTTAAGATTTGTGGATTTTCTTACTGGTCTCTGTTTGAACCACACTGATGTGAATGCAGTTTGAATTTCACTCTGAGTAGAGGACAAGCAAAAGGCCTATGCATCACTTAATTCTCACTGATGCAGTACATAGGCCTTGAGCTGGCCCTCTGCACCAGAACAAGATTCACCGAGGATGGGTTACTCAAAATGAAATTCTAGTAACTTTCTTTGTTCTGGCTCTTGTATTCCTTTCTGGCCTTAGCGATAGGCCATTGGCACTCGATGAAACCCAGGCCGCCTTCCCCAAGGGAGATGCCACGGAATTACATTGCCATGAACCGTGGAGCTGTTAAGGCTGGTTATGTCACAGCACGTGAATACAACCTGTACCACCAGCTCAAGGACATCCGCTGCAATGAAGATAACGAGAGTCGTTTTAAGAGAGCCCACCCAAGAGTACCTCCAGATATGACCTACGGAATTCCAGCACGGTAAGAGGGAGAAAACCCAGGCTTCTCTAAGGGCTAGATTCTCCACTCAGATCTGATCCTCATCTCTGTCTCTCCAAACAGTGACTTGAGGGAGGTTTGCTGTGAGCTGAATTGCTGTAGCACAGTACATAGGGCCTAATTCTCTATCACTCTGCAGCCATGTAACCATTTACACGAGTACAAAATACATATAAAATTCAGATTTGGTAGCATTTGGCATCCACTTTGCACTGATGTAAATGACAACATGAGGTGCTGAGCAATGGAGAATCTAGCCCATAATCTCAAGAGCCTCAATTAGTTGGATTCAGTTATATGAGTTAAAGGATTAGTGCCAAATGTATTTTTTAAAGGGGCTTCAGTCGGGCCACTCATTTTGTGGATGCAATTTTGCACCAGCATTTAATTAGAGGCATGGCTAATTGCAGGCATGCAGGCTAGCATTAGATATCTAACTACCTGTTTTCTACTGGTGTAAATGATTACACAGGTGTAGGGCATTAGAGAATCAGGCCCTACATACTATATTCATGCATATGTGATGACCTCTATGTTTGGAGATATACATCCAAATAGATAGGTCATCAAATAGTCATTGTATATGCATGAGTAAAGAACATAGGGCCTGAATCTCCATTTCTCTGCACCTGTGTAACCATATATGTATATAAATATAATCAGGAATAAAACGTATACTCTTCAGAGGTTTAACAACAAAGCAAAATAACTCAGGGTCTCGGTTAAGAGGGCTGAGAGATTAGAAAGCTCAATTTGAAAGTCATCCAGGGAGGGAGACAAAGCAGCTGCAGACTGGGTCAGCCTCTACTAACATACAAATCATAACAGCCTATTGCAGAGGGTTTTAATTTATTGGGTTTTTTAATGAACAATAAAATCATGCAAACAATAATGTATGGAGCAGCACAGAATATTTGCTTTTCACATATGCCTCTTTATTTATTCATTTAGTACATGTACAGTCTTCTATTTAGTACCTTGAGTGGCTTGTTTTAAAATTTGTGGTTTGTCTTTGGTGACGGGGATGCTAATGGTTTTGGTCACAGTCTCTCCACTTGACTCCCAGATTATTATGCTACTAAGACTTAAAAATTCCTTTTTGTCTCCAAAGCAACTCTCCTACTCATGATTTTACCACAAGTCTGGCAATATGGGGTGTCACTTTTGTGACTCTTCTCCAAACAATCTCCAATTCATTAGTATTTTTACTGCAATATCTTGGGGCAGCTGCAGCAGAGGTGAATGGAGAGGGATAAATACCTCCCTGCACTGTGACATGATGCTTCTGGTTGTTTCTGTCAGATCCAGACCTTAGAGCAGGAGTTTAATACCTGTATATTTGTCAGTAATTATAAGACTATGATCCATGTGTTCTCCGCTGCAAAAATACGGATGCAGACAAGAACTACGTGGCCCAGAAAGAGCTGTGGAGTCAGCATATTCTCCACCATGGGATAAGGGTGTATGGAGTGAGCAGCTGGATCACAAATGTGCAGAAAGCCAGAAATCTGCAGGACAGCAGTCTCCCAACTCTAGGGATCCTGGCCAGCTGCATGCAGGGACCCTCCCTGTTTGCTTTCCCTGGACCCTGCTCATCTACATCAGCATGGCTAGGCCCAGGAATGCCTTAAAGCATAGGCCCAATAAGCTCATGTCTAAGGCCCCAGCTCCCTGAGTCATGTGATTACATCAGAATCTCATATTTCATTTAAAAAAGTAAACATCTAGCCCTCATGGGTGCAAAGAAAACTTCAAAAACGTGACCTAAGCGTGACCAATGCAATAATTCCTGTCTGAGTCTGCAGATGGTCTGAAACAATAGCTCTGTCAGGTGCAAACTGGGCCCTGCCTCTCACTGGGGAGTTAACGCCGAGACCCACCAACCGGACCTCAGAGAGTTCTGAGTGTAGCAGGAGGAGATGAGTGCCGTGGGCCCCACCTCCCCAAGCAGACACATGCTGGTTGCAGGGGTGAATACTAAGGTGCCCCCCTGCTGCTACTCTTGCCTCTCCAGAGGGAAAGTGGACCTTTGTTGCTATCCCTGCAGCCACTCCTGGGGGAGAGAAAGGGGCTTGTACCTCTGCTTCTACAGGAGGGGAGGGGACTACCTTGCCATTGCCACTCCGATTGTGGCGCAGGGCCCCGATCACCTTATTCGGTCCCCAGCTGGGCCAGTAGCTGCGCTGCCATGAGCGGAGGAGCTGTCCATTGCACTTTGTGACACCTTCAAAAAGGTTTTACGAAACACACAGCAGGCATAAATGCTACCTTAACTTGCATCTGTTTTACTGTATGGGAGGGGGGGGTGTAAAGTTGGTGGGGGGCAAGCCCCACAGCTTCATGGGGCTCTTCCCTTTGCATCTTGACCAGGATAATTTCCCCTTCATCTTTTGTAGCGGGAATTAGTCAGCCACAAGGAAGAGTAGAAAGTGTCCTGCTTAGCACCCTTTGACTTCAGCCCTGTCCTGCTGTGGACTTCTCCACAGTTCTCTCCCCTCTCACTTCCACTGGAGGGGTGGGAAGAGGGGAGCCTTTAAGAGCCAGTAAGAGTTTGTATCACAAGCATTCAGGTGCATCAAAAGGACCGCAAACACTTTCTGAACCTGGCTCAGAAATGCCTCTGTGGTTGTATGTTGTAGGTTTTTTGTGCTCTGCCAGGGGCTAGGCTAGACATTACTATCTAGCTTTTAAAATGAAATCTAATCACTAACAAAAGAAATAAATAGCAGCTACAAATTCAAGGGAAAAGACATGATGAGCAGTGGTGTGTATTTTACGTGATAGTAAATGGGCTTTGCATATGCAAATTGAATGGATTTTAAAATGGTATTTAATGACAATTTTCGTAGCAGACATTAACATTAATTGCATCAAAATGAAAATGCAGCATTAGCTTGCTGTTAGTAGCAAATGCCCCAGCTATAAAGCTTTATCTTTATCAGTACCAGCCCTTGCTGATGTGACAGGGCTGCTCTGCAAATTGCAGGCAAAAGGGCTTTTATGTTGCAAAAGTATCCCCTAACGCAGACCAAAATCAACATCAATTGTGCTTTATTTCTTCATAAACGGGAGGTTAAATGGCTGCCTGGGAGAGATCTAGGCCAGGTTCAAAAGTTTTACTGAAAATCCACAGACCCCACAGCATCAGGGAAAGAGGCACCAGTCTTTTAATTTAAAGTTATTGTAGCACATCTTGCTGGTTCTTTAATAGCCACCTTTTATGCAGGCTGATTGTATTTATCCCCTTACTTTAAAAGCAGGTTATAGACAAAATCAAATTACTAGGATTATTAAGGAGTTGTTATGGGATATTTAACTCACTTCTCGTAACTGGTGAGTTAAAGATACCACCAGCAAGGGCAAAAGTTATTGGGTCCAATTCTATCTCAATTTACATTAATTTCAGCAGGGCTACCGAAGTTGTAAATCAAGGTGGAATTTGGCCTGTCATTGGTTTATTCTAGGTCTGGAGATTCTGTTTTAGCAGCCTCTGGGTTTAGTGGATTATGGCTTGGAAAACTATACTAGCCATGCTACATTGTATTTGTAATGTCTGTTAATGTTTATTTACAGACCCCAGTCAGAAGGCTTTAAGCAGATCCAAAATGCACAGGCTAGTTCATGCATGTTGGAGATTTCTGGGGCTTGCTATGTCAGGCAGCCAAAACTACACTTATTTTAAAAAGTCACTTAATTATTGGTACATTTAAATAATTTCCGTTTGCAGATTCAAAGCTCTTGCCCAATACATAGGACCCTACCAAATTCACAGTCCATTTTGGTCAATTTCATGGTCGTAGGATTTTAAAAATCGTAAATTTCATGATTTCAGCTATTTAAATCTGAAATTTCACAGTGTTGTAATTGTAGGGATCCTGACCCAAAAAGGAGTTGGGGGGGTCACATGGTTATTGAAGGTTTCAGAGTAGCAGCCATGTTAGTCTGTATTCGCAAAAAGAAAAGGAGGACTTGTGGCACCTTAGAGACTAACCAATTTATTTGAGCATAAGCTTTCGTGAGCTACTGCTCACTTCATCGGATGCATAAAGTGGAAAGTACAGTGAGGAGATTTTATATACACACAGACCATGAAAAAATATACATTGTAAGGAGAGTGATCACTTAAGATGAGCTATTACCAGCAGGAGAGTGGGGTGGGGGGAGAGAAAACCTTTTGAAGTGATAATCAAGGTGGGCCATTTCCAGCACGTTTCCAGGAGTTAACTAGAACATCTGAGGAAGAGGGGGGGGGAGGGGGAGGAGGAGGAATAAACAAGGGGAAATAGTTTCACTTAGTATAATGACTCAACCACTCCCAGTCTCTATTCAAGCCTAGGTTAATTGTATCCAATTTGCAAATGAATTCCAATTCAGCAGTCTCTCCTTGGAGTCTGTTTTCGAAGTTTTTTTTGTTGAAGAATAGTCACTTTGAGATCAGAAAGCGAGCGACCAGAGAGATTGAAGTGTCCTCCGACCGGTTTATGAATGTTATAATTCTTGACATCTGATTTGTGTCCACTTATTCTTTTACGTAGAGACTGTCCAGTTTGGCCAGTGCACATGGCAGAGGGGCATTGCATTGTAGGGGGTGTTGCAGTACTTCTGCCCTGCATTCTATGCAGCTGATGGCAGCAGCGCTGCCTTCAGAGCTGGGTGCCCGGAGAGCGGCAGCTGCAGGCCGGGAGCCCAGCTCTGAAGGCAGAGCCGCCGCCAGCAGCAGTGCAGAAGGAAGGATGGCCTGGTCTGGTGTTGCCACCTTTACTTCTGTGCTGCTGCCTGCAGAGCTGGGCCCTGAGTCAGCAGCTGCAGCCTGCCGCTCTCTGGCCACCCAGCTCTGAAGTCAGCACAGAAGTAAGGGTGGCAATACCGCGACTCCCTTAAAATAACCTTTTGACACCCTCCCCCCCGCAACTCCTTTTTGGGTTAGGACCCCCATTTGAGAAATGCTGGTCTCCCCCATAAAATCTGTATAGTATAAGGTA